TTTATTAAATAGAGAACATCAGAGGTAAGGTATTCTAGCATCTGGGCAAGAACAAAATGTAAATAAAAGAATAAATGTAAGTTTAAAATGAAGTTTGAAACAAAACAATGGAAAGGTCTCAAGAAAAAAAAGCAAGGCTTCCCTTCCACACTGCTGGTTGTTTTTTTCCGTGCATAGTTTTTCTACCCTCATATAAACAAGCTAATAATAGGTTTAGTTCTCAACATACAGTAGCAGAAAAAATGAACAATTTAATAGACCACATAATAATAATAATAAATCTTTTCATGGATGCAAAATATCAGGGGGAGGAGCACCACCTTGCTTTGACAACTAAAATATTATAGATTAAGCTGTCTGTTAGTTAGATAGTACTAACAGAAGCAGTATTACAGCAAAGTTCATATGAGGCTATCAAGATGCTGAACATAGCCTTTAAAGTGCGGCTGAGGACAAACTGAGTTTGTCCAAAAGTGCGGGTACACACATAAATCTATTTAGATGGAAATGGAAATTGTTTTGCCCGATCCTGATATAAATATCACAGAGTTATATATACCATTTTACCTTGAAAATCTTCACTGCGTGAGTAAAGCTCTTCAGCTCTGAAGAATTCTTGCAATTAAGTGGAGCATAGAACCCTTTGTGAGTTACAACATATAATACATTCCTTTTAAAAAAATGAGAATGGCTAGTTTGAATGAGATGTTTTAGTGTTTTTACTTACTGTACTAAGGACAAACATTAATCTTGTCTGTAAAAAAACTGTTAAGATGTTCCTGATGCCCAGATATTTCTAATTTATATAACCATTTGTAGAATTAACAGATTAAAACTCCATTCCTGTCAGACCTTTATGTTCCCTGAATTGTTGTGTAATGCCAACTGGGTGCAGGTAAAAACCTCCCATCCAGTGCCACTTGTGAGATAGCAGGCTGAGAAATCAGCAGGAGATGAAGGAAAAGAAAGATATAGAAACACAACAAAGCCACTTTGTCCCCAGAGAGCAACATTGGTGCCAAAGGAAAAGGCAGCATGTCTTGTCATTTCAGCATCATGTCAAAGAGGCAAAGGAGAAAACTAAGTGAAATCCAGTGATCATACAGCATGATGCCACCTACAGAATCAACTGGGCTTGATTTTCTTTCAGCCAGTCTTTGCTACTGATCTGCTGAAAGGAGATGCTAAATACAGCATGATTCTGCATGGGCTCAAGGGAAGGATACTGCAATACTACACTGTACAGTATCGTATAAACACGCCAGTTCTGGGATTAACACAGCTCAGTTGATCTCTATGGTATTTTATGTCATTTCCAGGCTGTAATGGAAATGACTTCCCTCTTCTGGTATTGACATTTGTAACAGATGTAAGATTTATGAATATGAGTATT